TCATGGAACTTGTCTTGCAACACAAGTTTCAGCTAAAAGGTTCAACGTTTAACAGGGCCTTTAAGATGTTGATGATTGATGATAGTGGTGATTGAAGTTAATGATGACTAGGATGGAAATGATAGTAGTGATGATGAGGACATTGAAGATAGTGAATAATGATGATCATGATAATGATGGTGGTTGATGATGACAATGACGATGGTGATGATGATGGTAATGTGATGGTGGTCGATGATGACATACAGTGATAATGATGATTATGGTGGTGGTGGTTGATGATGACAGTGATGATGATGATGATAATGGTAATGTGATGGTGGTCGATGATGACAGTGATGATGATGATGATGATGGTAATGTGATGGTGGTCGATGATGATAGTGATAATGATATTGATGATGATCATGGTGGTGGTTGATGATGACAGTGATGATAATGATGATGGTGGCGGCGGTGGTTGATGATGACAGTGATGATATTGATGATGATTATGGAGCTGGTTGATGACAGTGATGATGATGGTGGTGGGGGTTGATGATGACAGTGATGATGATGATGGTAATGTGATGGTGGTCGATGATGATAGTGATAATGATGATGATCATGATGGTGGTTGATGATGACAGTGATGATGATGATGGTGGCGGCGGTGGTTGATGATGACAGTGATGATGATATTGATGATGATTATGGTGCTGATTGATGACAGTGATGATAATGGTGGTGGGGGTTGATGATGACAGTGATGATGATAATGATGATGATGGTTGATGATGACAGTGATGATGATGATGGTGGTGGTGGTAGTTGATGATCACAGTCATGATGATGATGATGGTGGTGGTGGTTGATGATCACAGTGATGATGATGATGATGGTGGTGGTTGATGGTAACAGTGATGATGATGATGGTGATAGTGATGATGATGATGGTGATGATGACGATGATGGTGATGATGATGATGATGAAGGTGATGGTTGATGATGATAGTGATGACGGTGGCTGATGATGACAGTAATGATACTGAAGAAGATCACGATGATCTTGACAATAATTTCCATACCTATAGGGACTGTAGAATCATAAACAACGAGACCAACTTTAGACCATTTGCCGATTGGATCCAAGTTAACACCTCTATTTATTAATGCCTGGGCTAGATCCCGTCTTCTTGTCTTTAAAGAGTTAGTTCGTATTGTTACAGGCCTTTGGACTTCATTAGCTTCCAACACCTCTATGAGCTATAATCATAGCAAAAGAAAATTAATAATTATATTAATCAGAAATAGCTGACCTCCGTCAATCAAATACATTTTTAGAGTATACAAAGGGAAGCACCGGTGGTGTAGCGAGGAGAGTGCTCGCCTCTCACCAATGCGACCCAAGTTCAAGTCCCGACAAGCTCGGTGCTGTATGTGAGTGGAGTTGTTTGTTGGTTCTCTTCCATGATTCGAGGGTTTTCTGGGTTCTCCGGCTTTCCTCCCTCCGCAAAAAATCAACTTCTAACTTCTAATTGGAATTACAGTGGATGAAGAGCTACTCTGTAGAAATGCCACTGCTAAATCCCATTTATTTATTTATTATATATTAGGTACATGAGAACTGCTGGAAAATGAGTATGAAAACATGCATTATACCTCTGAGAGTTGAAACATTTCCATAAACTTCTCCATCAAATAATCTCCATAGCTGTAATATGCACATAAGTCTTTTTTGAGTAAATCTAGGTATTCTGTACGTGACCTGAACAAGAATTAAACAAGAATTACAAGTTAGTGGATGTATAGAAGAGGAAAAGTACAGGTATTTCTTTTGTAATGGAAAACAACCTGTCATCACACAAAGTGCATTAGCTGTGTTATTTGGGGACTTGAGAAAACCCAGGTTGCACCTTGTCATGATTCTTGGAAGATCAGGCAAGGTCTTGCCAAAATTCGTGCCAAGATTCTTGCCAAGATCCTGATCCTAAACTTGCAAGGTCTTGAAGGTTTTTGCAAGGTTAAATCTGCCAGGATCTTGTCAGGATCTTGTCAGGATCTTGGCAAGATCATGTCAGGATCTCGTCAGGATTTTGTCAAGATCTTGGCAAGAATATTAGCAACATCTTGCCTGATTTCCAAGAAATGTAGCAAGATGTTCAGCCAGTTTTTGACCAACATTTGGAGCAGGAAATAATATTCTTGCACTTGCTTATTGAAATCAAGCAATGGTATGAAATATAAGTTGCCTTACCTTCCCGGTTCTCTTGCTTTGCTAAAATTGTTCAAAGCTTGGATATTTTCTCTGATTCTTTGATTAATTAATGCCAAATCTGGAGGTTCATTTACTGAAAGAAAAAAAGGGAGTCATCAATTATGAATTAATGATGAAGCTTGTTATTGGATAAGGGAACAGATGTTGAACAAAGAAATGATACATTAGCAGAAGACGTGCCGTTCTCTTGAGAATAGGATTGTTTGAGTTTTCACGTGCCTTTTCATGTACAGAAATTTAACAAATGAATGATACCCTAAATAATAACACATACTGTACTGTTTGTAATCTGAAATAGGAAAACATTATGCCCAAGCTAAGGAGTCATATTACAGACAGTCCTCACTAATATACATTATCATATGACCCGTATCTGCCCGGGCGCACGCTCTTAGAAAAACCTTCGGGAAAATGGCGTGAGCAGGGCCGTACGAATCTATACAGCCCTGCTCGAATCCTGCGACCATATTGACATAATTTGCAACTTTTAAAATATCTTTTTTATTTAGGGTCATATGATAAAATGCTTATTGACTGAGTTAGGTCAGGCCGTAAGGGAAAATATTTGGCTCTCGCAGCGCATGGTCTGTACGGCATCACCTTGAGCCAAATATTTTCCCGTACGGCACTCCCACTCAGTCAATAAGTACATAGTAATAACAATTCACTGTGATGAAAGAGTAATGACGGTTTAGAAATCAAGGTTTCTAGACTTCAATACCTTCTTTCTTTATCTCTTGTCCACTTGGTAATACAAATATTTCTGTATCTGCAATATTAGTTTTAAGTTCTGCTTCTGCCAGTTTCCTAGATAAAGATTTTATAAAGTGTAAATGGCATGAAACAAGTGGTAGAGTAAGTACAAACAATTATGGATCTAAAAGTACCTACCTAGTAAAATTATTTGCTGTAAAATAAGAGGAGGGGAGGGGAGGATAGAGGAAATATCAAAGAAGGTATTCGAATGTGTCAGGAAAAGGGAAGGGAAAAGAATTAGAAAAGGAGTTGAAAGGAAAGGAGAGGAGAGAAGAGAAGAGGAGCCCTAATTAAGCTAAGCCATAGAGAATTTAAAACTGGAGTACAATCGTTGGAACAAACTTACATGTCTCTAGCCTTTTTCTTGTCAAGTTTTTTGGCCTTTTTCTCTATTGGTAGCATCTTAAAAAACAACATGTACAGGTCATGTTAGCACAGCACGGCATGTCTGAAAATCAGCTTGCTGAGCCATCTACTGTACGTATACCATTGATAAATAAAGTTAATTGATTGATACACATAGGAATAAAGATATGAGAACTTTGATTTTGCTTTGGCGAGGGAAGGGCAAAACCAGTTTTCAGAACATCAGTATATCCAAATTATCAAGTGACTATTGTACATAGATGTTTTGGTTTCTACAGCCTAAGGATGGGGGAGAAGGGTGGGAAGGTGCACCCCATTGTCTATGCCCCCATATATGTATGTATGTATATATTTTTGTCAAAACACAGAAGAAAATACAATATGCCAGGAAACATGTTGGCAAAATTCCATATTGTATTTAATGTATTCCTTATTGCATTCACATAACCCATAGTGTATAATAATAATAATAATTTAATAACTTTATTCTTATATAGCGCCATTTCCATTTCTGTCCAATGGCGCTTTACAAATAACAATTAAACACTAAAAATATATGGTAAAATAATTAAGAATTATATGAAGATGTTAAGATATATATACATTAAAATTTATTTTCATAGTTAGACCCAGCCTTTACACCGAGCCCCACATGTGCCGAATCCAACACAAACGAGCGACAATTGGAGTTCATTTGCATTAGATCCGGCACACAAGCTTACAAGCTTGTTACAGTATGCAAGATGCAACAAACTTACATCATCATCATCATCATCATCATCTTTCTCCTCATCATCATCACTTGAATTTATCATCATCTTCATCATCATCATCATCTTTCTCCTCATCATCATCACTTGAATCGTTTTGATCACTTTGGGCATCTTCACTACCAAAGTCATCATCAGGCTTCATGAAATAACAAATTACACAATCATTGTATATTATATTCCAAGCAAATATGAAGCAGCAATAGAAGCCACAATAGAAGCAGCAACATTTTAAAAAAAATTGATTCTGCAAAGATTTTCAATTTGCCTGTAGATATTTGAGAATATAATGTCTTTGTAACCTAGAGTGATTTTATTTGGCCTGTGAAAAAATTGTATAACTAACTTGTCATTGCTAATCATCACTGCAAAGTACAGCAGTGGTACAGCTCAACTGGGTCGAACTGAAAGAATGGGAAGGCGCATCTGGCAGCTGCTATACAGTCCACATATGACCCCAGAGCACAGCTCTAGCCAGTTAAACTGGAATTAGTTAGCGTTGATTTGAGTACATGTATTACTGTATACATAGTGTGGAAGACATTTTCCATTGTTTTCCTTTATTTTACTTTGACTGTTAGTCACAAATTATGCAACTTTGTCTCACAGGCCAAGTAAAATCACTGTTGACTATATCTATAGCAATCTCCCATATGTTGTTTTCATTTTTGAATCATTTGACTAAAATTTGTGTGAAATAAAACTTGATTTTTTTTAAATATGAAAATCTGAATGCATAAATATCAGAAAGAAAGGATTAACATACTACATCAGAATCGTCATCTTCATCTTCATTATTATTTTCTTCTGCTAGTTTCAACCATTCAGCATTATCGTCACTAAAAGGTCTATCAAAAAACAACATAATAAATGATTAAGTACAGTACACTTTATTACAGTGTAATAAAATTAAGTATATACTTTATTTGAAGTGTCTATAGCATTGTCTAGGTCAAAGAAAAAGCTATCCTATATTATTGTTACCAGTTAGTAAAATAAACTTAACATATTATTAATGTATCTTAAAGCAACCTGAGACAAAGTCAGGGCACAGATTGGATTCTGCACAATTTTGCATGTCAGAGGGAGGAAAACTAGAGAACCTGGAAAAAACCCCTTGAATCAAGGAAGAGACCAAATAATTAACTCTGCTTTCATGTGTTGCAGAGTACAGGAATCAAATTCTGAGACCCCAAGGGAGAGATCAATGTTACATTCTCGCCAAATATTTAATATGAAAAGTAGAAAAACTTACTTGGATTTAGATATTGGGTTAAAGTTCACTTCTTCGTCCTGTTCTTCTTCCTCATCTGAGATGAAAGTAACAAATAAAACCAGAATTTAGAGAAGACTCAGTTAGTGGACTGGGTTTCACTGGACCTCTTCGATCCGCCGCCAAAACTTCCCTTGAGTGCCACCATCTTGAAAAAAGCGAGAAGAGAAGGCCTAGGGAGCAAGGTTGGTATTGCTGGCTTTCACTTCATTTCATTTCCTGTCTCGTGCGGAATGTACATCAGCTGAATCCCAAGTTTTCAATAGGATTTTTTTCAGGCTGAAAGCACATGGTTGTCAGTGTTTGACCACTATCTGAAGCAGGTAATGAGATTCAAAGACTTTTGTCAGCTGAGTGAAACCCAGCAATTACAGACTACTTCTAATTACAGACCACCTCTTGTAGAACGTTTTTTTAAAAGACTTTTAAATATCAAGCATGCACAAAACTTACCACTATCTCCAAATAGCATTCTACTTGGCTCATCTTCATTCAGTTCGTCTTCTTCGCTATCTGATTCTTCACTTTCAGGCTGTTTGGTCTTCTTCCTGTAAGAAAGATTTTCTTTAGATTTATGCTTTTATCTATTACCAATTTCATTGCAATGCACAGTAGATTAAAGCTATTGCCAATCAAATAATAAAAGCACTGTTCTCATCAACATTTACATTCAACTATGTGCTAAATCCTCAGTCATTCGTGACAGGCAGTAAGAATTAATTTAATTTAGCACGTAGCCTCATACTGAAACCTTTGTGCGTGACAAGCGAAGCATATCTCRGAAGTGGGCTATTGATAAATGATTAACAGTAGAAAATGTCGTGACTTCTGTCTTAATGAATTAAAGTTGCTAGCTTTAAATGAAAATGGTGGTAAAGCTGAGAATGAAATAGGAATTTTTTAACTCCCTCTTCCCCTCTTCTTCCCCAGCCCAATAACATTCCTTTTTAGTCTTAAAAAGTTGTGTAAATTAAGAACAACACCATACCTTGCAGAGCTTTTATCAAGCTTTGCTTTCTTGGCCTGGCAAAAATAAAATAAGAAAACAAAGTTGTACAGCATTTCCGATTCTCAAAATTGTGCAAAATTTTATAATAAATTGTATAAATTGCTGTCGTGAGAAAAAGTAGTAGCTGGGGTTTGGAGGATTTGAATTGAAGTGTTTCCATCACGATGTAAGAGGAAAGAAGTTTTCAGGGGCACCTGCCTATGATATGTCCAGGGACAGATCCAGGATTTTTTAAAGGGGGTGACGATTACAGCATACCTTGCGCCAGTACCACAGGAAACCCAGAAAAGGTGGGAAAATGGTGGAAATATGGCATCTCAAATTGATGTAAACTGAATTTGAAAACTTTAAGTAAACTGAGTGAAAGCTTGTCCCGATAAAATGTTTTCAGTGTATTAGGGAAGGTATGCTTTTTATTGAGGAGAAGGGCCATGGGGTTTCAGAGGGGAGGGGAGGGTCATCAGTAAATAATTTGTGCAAAAGGGGGGAGAGGGGGTGGCTATAGCCAATAAAAAACTATTGTCACTCCCACCCCCCTTCCTCCACCAGCCCTGGACCCGCCCCTCCAAAACCTATTAACCTATGATTGAGAAGCACTACATAATCCACTGTAAAAAGATATAACTAGCTAAAAACTAGTGTGAGCTGCGTCGGTGTTTCTAATGAAACAGTAATGATGAAAAGGTAAATTATACACCGTGAAAAGATGAAAAAACTTACTGACGTTTCGGACGCTAGTCCTTCGTCTKWTACTCCGACGAAGGACTAGCGTCCGAAACGTCAGTAAGTTTTTTCATCTTTTCACGGTGTATAATTTACCTTTTCATCATTACCATAATCCACTGTAGAAGACACACAAGGATTAACAAATTGTATCGTAATAAATATTACACTTGAACATACATGTACCAATCTGAAAAAAGGTATAATATCTATGAAAATTATTGGATTACCTTGAAAAACTGGGCAACCTTAATTTCTTCTGAAATTCGAAGAATTGACAAAATTAATGGATTCATAAATAGTTGAAGAAAAAAATGTGGGAACTGTGTTGTATGAAAAGGATATATTTTGCGATATAAGTTCACAATAATAGAAGGTAATCTTTAATAACTCTGTCGCCTGTTTCTTCTATTACCTTTCCTCCTCCGCCCACAATAGACCCCTTGCCAAAATGGTGGCTGTAAATTTGGTTTTAAAATCAAACTGAGAGAAAAAACCAATACCAGCACTGCAAAGACCACCTTTACTTTAGTAACCCTACAAAGATTCATTATGTCAAGTGTTATATCGACCGAGAAAACTTAAGATGAAGATTGACAAATTTAGAGACGTTTGTATGTCTGGGTGCATTAATTTAACTCATTTCAATTTTTGGCCGCCATTTTAGCAAAGGGTCTATTAAAAAACTTTTATTAGTCATTGTCATATAAAACATACTTAAAAAACATACTTACTCTCTGAGCTATTGGCAGCTTTTGCATTTCTACAGAGAAATCAGAGAAGTACTATGAATCAATATTAAGGTTGACAGACACAATGATAAATATACAAGTTGCCATGGTAATGGGTTCCTCAAGTCTACTGAGATTTAAGAAAAATTATCTATGGTTTGTGAACCGCTGTTTTCATTACTATGCCCTGATCAAGACGACAGTCATGGAAATTGAAAAGTAAGTAAGTAAAGGTACGAAACAGCTAACTTGATTGATGGTTGAATGAACAAAAAAWTTTTTCAATACTGCACGAGGCAAATTTAAGCTGTGATTGCTAGAGAGATTCAGGGGCCAGAGATGTGGATTGAGTCACTCATCACCCCACCCCCAAAAGTTGGAGTTGCTAAAATATAGAGTACATGCAAAGAGGGAGCAATTATTGAATACCCTGCAAGTTATATGCAGTTGTCGGAACTCTTTGTAGAACAACACATACAACAATAGAAGTCATGGTCATTTAAGTATGTGCATATGATTTGCGGGCTATTCTATAAGTATACTCTGGATGCCCCCATTGTACCAAGGAGGTCTAGGGTTATGAAGAATATAAAGTAAAAAGCAAGATAATCATTCATAAAAACATCTAGACCTACCTTTTCAATCTTTTGGTTTTACGAAGCCCTTTTTTCTCATTTACAGCTGAAAAATTATAAAAAAGATCACCATTTTAGTACATTGGTTAACAAAAAACAATCAGATGTAATGTCTAAGAAATCAGCTGTTTAAAACCGACCAAATCATCAACAAATATCAACAAAAAATGGTGAAAATTTTGACCAACTTTGAAGACTTACCAAGCAATTCTGCCATTTTTGGTTCAGCCTGTTTCTTCGATTTCCTTCCTGGGCCTCTCTTAGGCTTATCTGTTTCATTCTTATGCCTCCCCATTATTAAAAAGCTTTAGAAAGGGTTGTAATGAGGTTAAATTTCTGTTAAAGCTTCCTATTTTTCTTTGCACGTGTCGAAAAATGTGTTGAAATTATACCTGCGCCTGTGATCGTTACCATCAGTGGTTATGGTCCAAAGCGCATGTACCCAGTTATTCCCAAAGCCACAGGAAGCCCAATTACAAAGATCCGGTATCTTAAATAAAATACTTTCTATAATGTTTCTTGCAAAAGCAAAGGATAACATTTTAGAAATAAACAATTGGACAATTTTAATTCATTTTTACAATACTTGTTTTTTCGTATCTATACTTTCCATAAAAACTCTAAAAAAAAATGAATCCGTTTTTCAAATGTATATCTCTTCAAGTAAAAAAAATCTAGAGGCTATCCAAAAGATCGATAATTTAAAGAAGCTTCATTAATTATTATTATTATTATTATTATTTTTTTTTTTTTTTGCAATTAAAAGTATATTTAGTAAAATTAAGTTTTGGATTCCCTGTGTTTTAGCCAGCATTGTTTCCTTACAGCGGTGTTTGTGTTAATGACATGCTCATGATCAAGGGCGCCAAATTCAATTCCAAGATGGCGGACGTGGGGAAGAAAAATACTTTGTCAAGATTTTAAAAAAGATTTCCGTTCAAAGTATGGGGTTTTATAGCCCAATAATGATAATGTAGTAGCAAAATTTATTCTGGATTGTCAAGGATGCGTCATACTTGAAAAAATTATTTTTATTTGAGGAGTTAGAAGACGAAACAATTAAGCCTTTAATGTTGTTGTTGGACAAGATAACTTAAATATTTGTGACTCTACAAGTTGATGAATTATGATACGTGCTTACTGCACGGTTTGCCAGGATTCTATTGTACATGCGGCTGGACAAGAACGCCAAGAAGTAGCAACAGGACCTTGTATCCTTTGATTTCATTTGTTTAATTAATATTTTGGACACAATCCATTGAAACTATTAAACGTTAGGTAAAGTTTAGGTACACTATAGCTAACACCCATGTACTCTTAAGTATAAAGTGCCAAATAAAATTGTATTGTATATAGTAGAGGAAAAGGGGGAAAATTGGGGGGGGGGGGACCTAAACCCCAAGCCTTCCGTGGCCTATGTTTTGTGCATACTGTAGAACATTGAATGTAGAGGTAGTGTATGTGAGTGAAAAGTGTGCCCAGTTATTGCAAAAGCGCTAGGGAAGAAAATAATTGGACAAAAATGAGAAAAGAAAAAGAAAAAAAACCGTGTATAAAACAAAATGCAGAAAGAATTAAAGCAAAAAATCCAGTTGCTGCCCAAAACAGAAAAGATAAGGAAAAGATATGGAAACCATGGGTTTACTTTAACGCTCCTTAGTAATCTATATGCAAAATTATGCAAAATTCAATAGCAGATCTCTTTTCCTTTAGCATAAAGTTTTAAAATCTGTTGTAAATGAATCCACTGAAATATGTAAAACATTTGAAATATGTAAAACCTTGACAGTTGGATAAGGTGGCCATGTTTTTCATGAACATTGGTAAGTTAACACGATGCCATTTGATCTTAAGAGACATTTTTTATTTGCAAGTTGACTGACATGGTGGTCATGTTGGTAAAATCAAACATTACTTATTTACAGCCTTAACCATTGACCCACCTTTTCAAAACTTTTCAATTGGATTTTGCTATTTTCTGAACTGTCAATCATCTTTGGCTTATGCAAATAAGTCCTTTTAAAAACAAGCTTGCTCAGTTATTTTGGCCATCACACGTTTTTATCAAAAATCAAAAATGACTTGAGGATATTCCAAGGGG